TTTATGGTAAGAAATGAAAAAAAAAAATGTATACATATATTTAAAAAATAAATCTTAAAAAATTTTATTTCATTACATTTTCATTTTATTTGTTTTATTTTTATGGAAAAATATTTGTTTAACTTTTGTGATAAATATTTTTGTTTTCAATTTAGGTCTACGTAAGTTTTTCATACTCACAGATTTGGAACATTTAAATTCTACTTAAAATACTATCTAGCATACTAAAGGTATATGTTTGCGTCCTACTTTTGACATATTTTCTTTTATTTTATTATGACTTTTGCTGTTAATAAAATTCATGAATTCAACTTATTTTACCTAACTCATACAGGCAAGTTGCTGAGGTTTACAGTTTAATTAAATTTTGTCTGGTTGCTTAATCAACGCTGAATGAACGCTGTATTACGTTGAGTTAAATTTGAATCAACGATGTAGGCTACAAATCTATTTTGATTCATCCTTGATTCTATGAATTATTTTAAGTTACTTAGATTTGTAATATCCTTACTTCAAGAAAATTAAAAAAAAAAAATTATAGGTAGGTCTTCACTAAATTCAGAATTACCTACCGTATATTGTGCATTACCAAAAGCTGTTACAGCACAAATCAACGTACAAAGTTAGGTAAAGATCAGCTTGTAATACATTTAAAAAAAGTTTTTTAATCATTTACTTATTACAGTGATACTTTACCAATGCTTAAAATCAAACTACTAATTCAATAAACTTTTCACACGCAGACACTCACTGACCCTCTTTTTACTTCTTTTGCGTTCGCACCTGTGTCGGTATATAGATTTGTTTGGACTAGTACGCGTTTTTCTTTCATCTATCTAGTTTTACCGTAATGACGACCCATGACATTCCTTCAGTGGCAGTAGTAGTAATCAGAAAAGACGTGTCTTTGGCACCTTCTTTTGTCTTTTTCCCCACCCCTCTGTCTCTCTCCTTCTCTTTCTCTTTCTCTTGTCTCTCTGAGATTCGTACAGTGCACACGTACTTTTCTGAGCTCTGGATTTTTTTCTACCTGACTTGTGTACTCCTAT